ATAAAGAATGGAGAAAAACAGCATAAAAATTAAAGAATACAGAAATGAAGGACCCCCCTCCAGACCCTAATGAAGTGCCAGAGAATTAACTTTTAATATGTAAGACTAACAAAAATATGAAAGAATGTGAGGAATAAAAAGGTTGGGGACATCCACCATTTAGGGAATTTTTCCCCAAAAAAGTAACAATCCCTCATTTGAGTAAATATAGTTTATATTACTAGTGCTAAAAATGTAGATTTTTTTGCTGAGTCTTTTTACTTGAAATGGTACAAGTTTATAGAAAAAAGATTTTTTTTGGCAAAAGAACTATATTAATTTTTTATTGGAGAAGAGGAGAATTTTACATCTGACTTGGAGAAAAAAACAACATCTTTTGATAAGTGATATTCACTTCCAGATACAAAAATTTTACCTCAGAATGCAGGATTTTACGTCTAATTTTCCAAAATCTTCTTGTGTGTGGGGGGGGGGGGGGGGGGGTGTTGCCCCCAAATCCTCTTAGCAGGTTCAGATCACTTTGTGATCCTCACCAGTGACACAACTTATTTTAGGTCTAGTAAACATCAATTTGGGCTAGTTTTTTTTTTTTTTAGTTTTCAATCCTAAACATATTATTCTTAACTTTATAACTTTTTAATGTATTAAACAGTTAAATCCTTGAAATGTTTTAAGGGTTATTTGAACATTAATATCCTAATTCTAAGAAAAATTCTCTTATAGTTGTGGCATGTTATCTATTTCTTGCATGAAGAGATATTTCTCATATCACACTTCAAGGAGTGTGATACCAAAAGTGATGTGAAAGTGATACGAAAAACTGTGTTAATTTAGTTGGCTTATCCAGCATGAAATGATATTAGACATTTCCATTAGCTATTTGTTAGGTCACTGTTAACTTCCAAAGGTTAAGGCGATGTGTATTTCGTCCTTGACAACAGGCATATGTGATTTCTTCAATAATATACAAAACATTCACACTTTTCACCTGGAAATCATCTTTTTACTTTGACAAATTTTATTACATTCTGAAGGGTACAAAAAGTTTTAAAATGTCTGGTGGTGAAGTTTGATGCTGGAACAGGACATATGATGTCATGCTGGTATGTGCAAAAGATTAGATCAACGATTCACAGAATTTTGAATTTAACACAATGAGAGTGTTGACCATAAGAGAAATAGGTTTAACAACTCGTGAGAATTGGATATCGCTTGATATCAACTCTCATTATTTAATTTAGATAGTAATAATAAACTCGCCACAGGATCGTTGGCTAATAAATATAAAAACATGGTCAATTTTCAAAACATTTTGTTTTGTTGATTGATATCTATTCAAAAAATTTCTGAAAAATTAGCCTGTTGTCCTCGTCAGATTTTGAGCTGTCATTGTATAATATGATGATTAGGTTAATGCAAGGAACTCTCCCAATAATGTCTATTTGAATTACGATATATATTTTGGACATTTAAGAAATGTAAGGTAGTTTCTATGTGACCAAAGAAACACCATCATGGCATGCTTTTGATAGACTTAAAAAAAAAATAGGTTGTCCCTCACATCACTACTCTGGAGTTTCAGTCTGGCATATTGGATTTGTTCAAGTCAATATAAAATATTTTATTATTCCAATCAGGGTCCCACAGGGGGCATTTACAATTAACAATTATGATAGTATAAGCAACAAACATGAGACATTGTACAGTATATAACGTGACAGATATTATAATAGACAAATGAAAATAGCATTAATAACAAAAATACATTAAAAGTACTCTTGAGTATTTTTTTTCCCTTCCTTCCTTATTACCATTATTATTTCTATGTCCAGCAGTGCAAAAAAAAAAAAAAAAAATATTAATAATAAAGTTTGAACAAACTTAAATTATTATCTATAAAGATGGAAATTTGTTCATCTGCAGGTTTCCATCTTTATAGATAATAATTTAATGATATTAGTGTTTTGGAAGCATATGTCTTGCATCCAGATTTAGATTACTTTAAACATATTTTATCTGGAATTTTATTAAACTTCTGTTATTATATCTTGTTCTAGATAATATTGAAGATTAAGTATGCAGACAATCACTGGGATACAATCATACATTTGGTGAAATTTTATCAATTTACATTCATCATATGGAGACTGAAGGGTTTTCCCAGGGGTGTTACAAATGACATGAAAGAGTATGGCATGTTTTATTGAATCTGGTGTGTTTCAAAATGTATTTTACCTCCTGGCTAGTATGATTGAAACCAAATAAAAAAACATAGATGGGATAATGTGTTCCTTCTATTCCCACTTTTAAAAAATCACTATTCCCTGTATTCCCACATACAAATAACAAAAGATGTTTTGATAAATAATTTGTTTTTATAACAATCAAGGTTAATTAAAATTCACCTAAGATTTACCTGTATTTAAAAAAAACCTATTTCTTACTCTGTTTAGGTATATAATTTAAAAAAAAAATAAAGATTAATACAGTGTATTTGTAAAATCTTTTTTTCTTCAAAGAATTGCCTTAAAATAAAGAATAAGTCAGATAAATAGTAAGATTAAAAAAATCTTTGAATTTGTAAACCTAAAAAAATTGTCATCTGAACACATAACTTGATGATAGATAATATTAAAATAAACTTTCCCATCTTGCAAGATTTCCATGTACAACAAATGCAAGAAGAACCTACCAGTTTACAAAAAACTCTTTGATGAAATCAACATAGAGGTTATTTGGGCAAGCACTACCAAAGGTGTCCCATTCGTGCTAACAGACGGCAACACAGTTCTACTGTTGAATTTGTGTTATAAAAGAAATAAGATAATTTACTATATTTGTTTCCATTTCTTTCATATTTATTTATAATTAAAATCACAGAATTCATACACATACAAAAATAACCTATTACCTATCCAAAAAAAATCACTTGTCAATTAAAAGTTAACTAGAAAAAGTGGGAATAGGAGGAATGAACCATTGATAGTTTATCTGATGGTTGTATTGATCTATTTATTACAAAGGATCTGACATGATTTCTGATGTTAATTATTATGTAATAGCCATATGTAAAATGTTTGTTGTAATTCTTAAACAAATATTTTAATGAGCAGATGACACCTTATCTTTATAAAATGTATACTTCACAGATTACTGAAAATATTTAGTGATTGTAATAGCTCAGCATGTATAAAAATCTGTCATGTTTTAATTGCCACTAGCAAAGTGACTGTACAGATAATGAGATATATATTTATGTAATAATACTAATATTGGTTGTCAAAATATACTGAAAATTTCCAGGTCAGGTAATTATCATAGCTAGCATATATTTAAGTGAAAATATTTTGATTTTTTTCCACATTATTGTAGTCATTTTATATATATAATTTTACATATTAACAATTTGTATGTTTTTGAAAAGTTGGTGCTTTGTATTGATTTTTTTTAAAACCTTTTTTTTTGTAGAGGACATTTGTTGAACATCCTATCCATAGGTTGTTAACAGAATGCTTGACCAAAATAAAGTAAAGTTAAGTTTTGAAGTGCAAACAATTTTCATTGTATTGCAAAATGTTTAAGTCAGTCTGACTGGTAAAAATTTGAATCTGCACAATCACATGAATGTAAAAAAATGTTTGAACATCCATTGTTCAACCTGCTAGTCAAATGCGTTTTGTTAAGATATACTTTTCCACTTTTTTGGTCTTTTGGAAAATGTTGTTTGTGCTGTATTTAGACCCCTCTACCAAGAAATTTGTTTTGCATGCACACGTATAAAAATTGCGGTTATTGTCCAACGTAATCATAGGTTTGAACGTTATTTTCAATTTAGACTTGTTTAAAATTGTTAGAATATATTCTTGATTTTCATTTATATCCAATGTGATGTGCAAAACTCACATACTTGTAAAGGTATGTATCTTGAATCACTATACTAATAGTGAAATGATAGGGGTTTTAAAATGTGGTATGGCATATATTATGTGGCTAGGTGTTTTATATATGGGTAAATTTGGATGATTCTTCTGATCATAACCACATACAAAGTCTGTCTGAAGTTTATTATGCTCTTGTCATTGCTCATCTTTGACAAGTATTCACATTTTTCATATTAATGATGATTAAAATACTGCAGGCAAACATTGAGGTAGTCTAATCATGAACAGAACAGTTGAAAAATTACATGATAAATGTAGAAATAAACAGTTATTATGATATTAGTACATGTACATGTATACATCCTAATTAATAGAATAAGTGATAAGGTATTATATATGTTCAAGAGGATGCATATATGAAGAAATATCACAATAATTTTAACACATAGTCATAAAGTGTTTGGGGTACTACAGATCTGCACTTTTTTTTAAAATTTACAGATTCATAAATTGATTTTTTATGATATACCTAAATATATTTTTTTTTTATTATTGTTTTGATTGCTTGATGACAATCCAGATTTTGGATTTTATATCAATAATCCTTGACTGACTTTAAATGCAAGGATTTTTGTTGTGTCAAAAAGCTTGTTTGTTGAAAAATTAATATAAGAATTAATTACATCAGAAATATAAATAGGTTATTTGAAAAATTAGATTAAGAATTGATTACATCAGAAATGTAAATTGTTGGTCACCATATCTGAGTAAATTTAAAAGTGAATTAAAATTGAAATTTGATGGTTTGGTGATTTTCTTTGTGACTGAAAGTACAAAAAAATGTATCATAGAAAGGTGATGAAAGTTATTGACCCTGTACGTAGGACACATTATCTGGGACATAAACCAGATGTATAGTTGGCATTTGAAATATTCGTATGCTGTGTAAATGCATTTGAGAAATCACATACTTGTATATGATGAAAGTTATATTTTCTTGGATGGATTTTAGAAGCTTAATATTTTCATTTTTTTCTGTAATAAGATAATTATCATAGTTTTGTTAATAACTGAACAATTTTAAACACCCTTATTTGATAATTATTTTAAATCTTTCAGGTATAGAATATGAATGATGTATCCCTGGCAGGAACAGTGTCTACAACAGTTCCAGAATGAAAACAGACCACAAACGAGGGTTAGTCCCTCAGACCCAAGGACCAGGGTTAATCCACAAGTTTTCTCAAGCTCTGTACCTGGTGATGTTAGAATGAGGAATCCAATGATGATGCATAATCTGCTTCAAGAAATGAGGAACATGTACCAGTCAGGTTAGTGCATTTCTATGCCTAAGGTCTATGGTTTGTAGTAAAGTCAGGAACATGTACCAGTCAGGTTAGTGCATTTCTATGCTTAAGGTCTATGGTTTGTAGTAAAGTCAGGAACATGTACCAGTCAGGTTAGTGCATTTCTATGCCTAAGATCTATGGTTTGTAGTAAAACAGGAATAAGTACCAGTTAGGTTAGTGCATTTCTATTTCTAAGGGTTATGGTTTGTAGTAAAGTCAGGAACATGTACCAGTCAGTTTAGAGCATTTTTCTTTATAAGGTCTATAATGAGTAGTAATACTGATAATATTATTTATAATGTTACAAAAAACTTTCTTGTTGCAGCATTTGCAATTTTCATTTTTGTCAAGCCTGCGACAAAGGTGCAGAAGCAAGACATTGGGATCCTACATTCCATTGTCAGTGTATTGTCAACATTTAAGTTCAGTCTTTGGTTTAATTTTTTTTAAAACATCAATAACGTTGACAAAACTTCATTGATTTTATGAAATTTATAAATGGACTTGGTTTTTGGCAGTCAAAATAACACTTTTACACTGAGAGCAACAATTTGATGGAACCCAGTACAATTTTTGTTAAAGCAATTGCTTTTATGCTATGGTGAGACTGCCATTTTTGTGATGTAGAGATTCATGCGGCGGGATGCCAAACTGGTTCAAGTACAAAATTTAGATTCTTCTGCTATTATAAATTTCCTCTGTTTTTATGATTAATCCATTTAGAAGCAGTTCAGTTAAAGACAATGGTGGACTGATGAAGTTTTTTTTTTTCACTTCCGGCACTCGTAAGTTGAGTGATCATCAAAAGATTTTGATTTTCGGCAAAATAATATTTCATTTCATTAAAAAGTGATTATAATGGCATTAAGTTAATGTTAATCCATTATTGCATTATGAAAGTCATATTCCTTTTCAACTTGCAATTCAAAGATTGTATAGTTTATGTCTCGCCTTGAATTTGTAGTCAAAAAGCGAGACATAGGTATGCAGTTTCCAGCGTCGGCATCGTCAACAATGTATTAGTTTGTGATTAGGTCTGGTTAAAGGTGAACCACTAGTGGTTGGTCAATGATATTTGGTATGCAGTTGTATTAGCACTGGCACATCTCATTTCCATGAAGATTATTTGGCCCTGTCCCCTCAGTTATGGTCTATTGACTTTGAAACTTTTGCTTAGTGTACATGTATTAGTTTGTGATTAGGTAAGTTTATGGGGAACCACTAGTGGTAAGTCAATAATATTTGGTATGCAGTTGTATAAGCATTGGCATATCTCATTTCCATGAAGATTATTTGGCCCTGCCCCCTCAGTCAAGGTCTATTAACTTTGAAACTTTTGCTTAGTTTACATGTACTAGTTTGTGATTAGGTCAGTTTATGGGGAACCACTAGTGGTAAGTCAATGATATTTTGTATGCAGTTGTATAAGCATTGGCATATCTCATTTCCATAGAGATTATTTGGCCCTGTCCCCTCAGTCATGGTCTATTGACTTTGAAAGTTTTGCTTAGTTTACATGTATTAGTTTGTGATTAGATAAGTTTATGGGGAACCACTAGTGGTAAGTCAATGATATTTGGTATGCAGTTGTATAAGCATTGGCATATCTCATTTCCATGAAGATTATTTGGCCCTGCCCCCTCAGTCAAGGTCTATTGACTTTGAAACGTTTGCTTAGTTTACATGTATTAGTTTGTGATTAGGTCAGCTTATGGGTAACCACTAGTGGTAAGTCAATGATATTTGGTATGCAGTTGTATAAGCATTGGCATATCTCATTTCCATAGAGATTATTTGGCTCCGCCCCCTCAGTTATGGTCTATTGACTTTGAAACTTTTGCCTCATTTACATGTATTAGTTTGTGTTTAAGTCAGTTTAAGGGGAACCATTAGTGGTAGGCCAATGTTAATTGGTATGCAATTGTATAAGCATTAGCACATCTCATTTCCATGGAGAATATTTGGTCCCGCCCCCTCAGTCATGGTCTATTGACTTTGAAACTTTTGCTTAGTTTACATGTATTAGTTTGTGATTAGATCAGTTTAAGATGAACCACTAATGTTAAGTGAATGATATGATAGCTCTCTTTCCATTTTGAAATTTTTTTGTTATTCTTCTTTTGTTAGAACTTTAACCATCTGATTTAAAACAATTTTTGCACACATAGCACAGTCACACTAATTCATGTATATTTGGATTGTTTACTCTAGATTATTTCCAATCACTATTGTTGGGATTGATAAAAGGAAACTCCCTTTTAATTTTTAACCGGATTTTCGAAAGAAAAATCTGTTATTGATTTGGGGATGTACGGCGGGCGGGCAGACGGGCGGCTGCCAAACAGTGTCCGTTCATTAACATGAAAACCCTTTGACGAAATCTTTACAAATTTAGATATGTTGTTTCTTGTGACTAAATGAAGGTCAAGTTAAATTTTCACGATTTTAGATGTTCTCGTTGTTGAGTTTTAGACCTTTCAGTAGCAAAATTTATTTTTATTATATGAACTTGAGTTATTTCCCCTTGAACAGAAAATAATAATTTATTTCTTTGTCATTTGGTCTCTTGTTAGATTTTTTTTTAATTTTGAGGCCTGTCTTCAAATTGGTCCACATTTAGGTCCAAAGGGTCCAAAATACAACTTTTTATTATTTAAAAAAAAATTGAATTCTTGGTGATCTTTGATATGCTAAATCTAAGTGGTATTTCTAATTTTAGAGAACTATTTTTGCTGTTTACTTCACTGGTTCATGGAAATAAGTTTTGAGTTATTTCCCCTTGAACAGAAATGGTTAAGTATATGGATTTTAGTCTATTAATGATTGTCTCTGTTCAATTAATTTTAGTCATTAGTTGTCAAAAATTTCTTTATAACTATTTTTCTTAAGTCGTGTGTTATGAAGGTAGTTGTCGCAGTTGTTATGTGGTATTTTATTTTTGTTGTGTGTGTTGATGTTTAATTTTTATTTGATCCTGATTGGGGGTTCAGATTTGCAAATATCATTTTCATTATTAATTAGATAATAATTTTAAATATTCAATCACAATCCAAATTCAGAGCTGTTTTAAGCTTAAATGTTGTGTCCATACTTGCTCAACTGTTCAGGGTTCGACCTCTGCAGGAAAATCCGGTTTGCTGTCACTCTGACAGCCTCTTGTTGAAAATTTTCTGGTTTGTGGAGACCAGATATAATTTGCTATTTTAATTGACAAATTCTGAAAGTAAATTTCATGTATACACTTACTTGAGTTTGCATGGAACTATTTACTTGAAACTTGAAACTTGACTCAATTGTTTGAAATAGTGAAAAATTGTGAAAAAAACTGCATATTCAATTTGAAAAAATACATGTACTAAGCAAGACAAGATCTACAATCTAGTCTACATGACGTATGCATCTTAGAGCAGGTGTTTCCCTTTAATGACTATTCTTACCATACAATATCCTGAAGGGTTATTCTTTTTTTTTATAGCTAATGGCTTGAATAGAGTTATCATTTCTATTCTTATAAGGAAAAATTACTTTGCCAGCAGGTTTATTTTTGGGGCATAGAGCATTAAAGGCTTACAACAAAAACTGAGTTGTAGTTTTGCATGGAACTTAATTGAACAATACAGGTTTTTCTAGTTATTAATCCTGTAAATAGCATTTGGTTAATTTCAGAGCAGTCTTTAAATTGATATATTACCGCCTCGGTGGTATAGTGGTAGTGTGTTCACCTCAAGTGTGGAAAGTTGTGGGTTTGAACCCTGGCCGGGTCAAACCATTTGTAGTAGCTGCTTCTCAGCTAAACATGCAGCAATAAGGAGTACGAGCAAAGGCTAGTCTGCTCAGAGTCAGAATAATGCGTCCGGATGGGGTGACATATCTACCTGCGAACTTTTACATTGTGAACTAGCATGTTAAAAACCTGGCTCAATGTGTCGGTTTAGTACAAAGCAGGGTTCATATCTGTTTCTCATTATCATGTTCTCCTCCTAAATATGTATTTAATTTGCCATTGGACGTTAAACAGCAATGCATTAAATTGATATATTTGTAGAATGGTTATTTACATGAATATAATCTTGAGCCTCTAGGAAATATATTTTTAGAATCATAGTCATTTCGTACCATAACCATTTCGTACTATAATAAAAACCATTTTGTACCATATGGAAGATGATAATGTATACCATTTCGTACCTTATGGAAGATTATAATGTATACCATTTTGTACCATATGGAAGATTATAATGTTTACCATTTTGTACCATTGTATTCTAATTTTGTCTCGCCTTGACGGAGTCAAAAAGCGAGACATAGGTATGCTGTTTCCAGCGTCGGCAGCGGCGTCATCAATGTATTAGTTTGTGATTAGGTCTAGTTCGTGGTGAACCAATAGTGGTAAGTCAATGATATTTGGTATGCAGTTGTAGTAGCATTGGCACATCTCATTACCATGGAGATTATTTGGTCCCGGCCCCTCAGTCAAGGTCTATTGACTTGGAAACTTTTCATAGTTTACATGTATTAGTTTGTGATTAGGTCAATTTATGGGGAACCTCTAGTGGTAGGTCAGTGATATTTGGTATGCAGTTGTATAAGCATTGGCATATCACATTTCCATGGAGATTATTTGGCCCCGCCCCCTTAGTCATGGTCTATAGACTTTGAAAATTTTGCTAAGTTAACATGTATTAGTTTGTGATTAGGTCAGTTCAAGGGTACCATTAGTGGTAGGCCAATTTTAACTGGTGTTCAGTTGTATAAGCATTAGCACATCTCATTTCCATGAAGAATATTTGGCCCCGCCCCCTCAGTCATGGTCTATTTACTTTGAAACTTTTGCTTAGTTTTCATGTATTAGTTTGTGATTAGGTCAGTTTAAAATGAACCACTAATGTAAAGTCAATGATATTTGGTATGCAAATGTATTGGCATTTGCAAGTTTCATTTCCATGGAGATTATATAACCCCACCCCCTAATTATAGTTCATTGACTTTGAAACTTTTACATACCGTTCCTACTCGCTTATTAGTCGGAAAATTGGGAGTAAAATTCATAAACCAGAGAGGGGGACAGACTAATAGACGAGATCTAGCGACCAGAGGAAAAATCCAAGCTTGAGAAAAGTGGTCAGGAGTGAATTTCCTGGTCAAAACTACGTTTTTGATTGCCAAACCTACATAAATCAATAAATAAAAAGTTTTTGTTGAAAATAAATGACTACAATACTGTCTTTGTGTTTTATTTGTTCTTTGGTAAACATTTTCTGCAAATTCGTGTTGAAATTCTACTGTTTCCGGTTTGTGTATTGATTTTCATGGTCACATGGTTTTCCTATAAACCCAAAAGAAGAGCCAAGAACCAAAAATGAAAAGGAGATAACAATGTACCAAATATGTGAAAGGATGTTTTCAGCGGAGTTATTGTGTCATTATTGTGATATCATGATATCAATTCAATGCTTATAAATCATATTATAATCAAAAAATAATTTTAAGATTCATTCCCAAAATCAAAATATTATTCATTAAAGTGTCTCAGGTAAACAAAAATTACAAAATTGATTGACAAGCCAATATAATCCATTGATAACCCCAATTAAGAGACAAAGAGTTGTATTTACTAAAGGTGTGAAAACTATCAGTGATAGGTAAACAGATGACACTAATGAGTTGGAGTTAGTTATTTAAATATTTTGATTAGCTTCACTTAATTTTTTTATACGAATACGAATACGAAAGTTTTATTTTGATTCGGTTCACATATAACAATACAAACATAAGCTCTTAAGAGCTTTTTACCGAATATAAGGTAACACAAACACAACATTAAAACACACAACATGCAGACAGGATATATAACAGCACAGTCATATCGAAATACATGCAAAGCACTTTTAAAATACATATCTAAAGCCAAAGCTGAAGCACAACTAAAAATTAAGCACAACTAAAATTAAGCACAAATAAAATATAGCACACATGCAAAAATTTAAGGCATAATAACATGTTAGAGCAACTTCTAAAATATGATAAAGCTTATCTACAAGCAGAACAACAACATTTTGAACCATTCCAAGACTGTATAAGGCTCTTAAATTGAGAAAAACTGTTTTCAGTCCTGAAATGGTCAGGTAGGCTGTTCCACAGAGTAGCAGCTGCAAATTTAAAACTTTTCTTACCAAACTGTGTAGTTTTTACATGTGGTATATCCAGTATATTACTATATCTGAAAGAATATTTACAATCTTTTATATTTAATAAATCATGTAAACAGACAGGTGCTAATTTATTGACTATATTAAAAGTTTCAATTGCCATAGATCTTTGTCTTTTAATATGCAGTGAAGGCATCTTAGCCTTTTCAAGCAACTGTTGATATGAGCTTGAATGGTCTTCGTACACAAACCTTAGTGCTCTTTCTTGCACTTTTTCTAATTTTTTTGAATTTTTCTCGGTACAAAAATGCCATGCCAAAGGGCAGAAATTGAAGTTTGACAAAATAAATGTATGGAAAATAGTAAGCTTACTTAGCTTGTTCAGATAAGCTCCCAAACGTTTCAAAATATTTAGTTGCTGAGATGCCTTCCTGCATATTTTACCAATATGAATATCAAAATTTAGCTGATAATCTATGTCAATGCCAAGTAATTTGACAGTTGACTCACACGAAAGATCAGCACTTTGGATACGTATAGATGGATTTTTGTTATATGTCTTTTTCCCAACTGCTAGGACCTGAAATTTGTCGGGGTTTGCCTGCATTTTATTTATTTTGAACCACTCAATAAGTTTGAGTGATTCAGATTCCAAAGTAGAAATCAAAACATCATAATCAGGACTACAGTAAGATAAAGTATTGTCATCTGCATAATTATACAAAGTTCCATTTTTTATAAATAAGAATATATCATTGATAAAAACATTGAATAGTAGGGGGCCCAGGATAGAACCCTGGGGAACCCCCTTATGAATGTCAGCCCAACTGCTAAGAATACTATTTATTTTAATTTTAATCCTTTAATCATCACAATATAATAAGAATTATGAAGTGTACATGCTCATTTAACACCGAGTTATGTATGCTGTGAAAAATATTTTCATCAAGTGTTGATTGACTTTTTTTCAGGTTCATATTGGTTTATATTCGCTTTTCTCAAACAATAGGTTGTTAGTCATACCCTACAAAATCATTGATGCATTACGTAAACAACACATGGCTAATCTAACATTTGAACAGTGAACAAAACAAGAGAAATGAATACATCTTTATTATTAACAGCAATATAAATTATCATGATGAGCATCAACTAAATTCAAACCAAACAAACATTAATGCAGAAATGAGTATTATTCCGGGATTTGCATTGGTTTTACCGGCGTTCAGTTACTGTCAGCTGAAAAAAAAATGCCCAAATTTTGTCCGACTTATACGAGGGTCAAGACTAAATCCTTAGAATTTGGAGCTGAAAAGGGCCCCCGACTTATAGTAGGATCGACTATTAGGCGAGTATCTACGGTAGTTTACAAGTTAATGTTTGTGTTTAGGTTTGTTTAAACGGAACGATTTACGAAAAGACAATGGTATTTGGTTTGCAGTTGTATTAACATTGGCACATCTCATGTCCATGGAGATTGTTTAGCCCTGTACCTTCAGTCATGGTTCATTGACTTTGAATATTTGCATAACTTACATGTTAAAGTATTGCTATTTTAATTTCAACATTTGCATTATCAAAATAACAAATAGGCGAGACATATCTCTGTGTTAACAGTTTATTATATGTATTCATAATTCAGTACTGAAGGTAAGTTTCCCTATGTTTAATTGCCTACCATTTGATAGAATGTGCGTACAGGAAATATCTTGATTGGAGATGAGAAAAGGACCCGAATTTAGTTAAAACTTTCAATACCCTGTTTTTTGTCATATGATTGATTGGATGTAATTACTGTCTAAATGGTGTATACTTCACAAGTATGATATGGTAAAGCTCAATTTTCATATGGTACGAAATGATACAGCATTTTTTTCCTTATGTTACGAAATGGTACATTTTTTTTTCCATATGGTACGAAATGGTTTATGTTCATGGTATGAAATGGCAAATTCATGGTACGAAATGGTTATTTTAGGTACGAAATGACTGGATACTTATTTATACTGCTGCCATGACAACTTGTACTTTCATATACTTATCAGTTATTTTGTATTATTTTCAGGCATGGTTGGTTCAACAAGCATTGCACAACATGGATTACAGAACAGAGCTCCTCCACCATTATACAACAGTATGACCAGAACAAACACAGCCCCACAATTAAGAGGACCACCGCCATTGTTAAATGTTTCAACATTAAGACAGCCACCACCTGCTCATTCCAATAAACGACAACCACCACCTGCTCATTCAAACCAACCAAGTTATATGGTGCATCATAACATTAACCAAATCAGACCTAACATACCCCTCCGACACACCAGTGGAGAAACAATAAGATTGACAAATCCATTTGAAAATGAGATAAATGTTCCTTGTACAAGAACTTCACCTCATCTATCACCAGATATGTTCATATCTCAAGCTGGAAATATATCTACTCAAATGTCTGCTCAAAGCATTAATTCTACTTTACCTTCAAATGTGAACAGTAACAATGTGTCTCAGCGGTTAGTTTCACAACAATCAAACCTAGATCCAAGGCTGTTTCACTCATCATTGTATCATCACCATCTATTCCCTCCATTGGGGTACATACCTCCAAACTTGCCTGAAAATAGTCTAGTCCCAAATATGATGCCAAGAATGCCACCACAAAATCCATACACAGAATTCAACATTCCTCGACCCCAGTTTATGAGCAATCAGGATCCACCATTTATCAATCAAACAGAACCAACAGAGGCCTCAGATAAATCTGTGATGGGAAGATGGTATAAACTCCCCATCACAGATTTGGTTTCTGAAAAGAAAGACCTGATAGAGGAAGAAAAAGAACGTATTCATAGACCATCCAAGCCAATATCTCATTCTAGCTTGGAAAATGTGGTTAATAAGCTTGTTAAGAGACATGAAACTGTTTCTCCGATTTCATCTGTTGCCTCTCAATTCCCAGTATCAAGAGAAGACGCTATATATGGTCCATTGACAGGTAATGTCTTGTTACCTCCTTCACCAAAGGAACAACACAAAGGTCAATCAGTTGACACAATAAGCCATGAAGGTCAGTCAGTTGACACAATAAGCCATGAAGGTCAGTCAGTTGACACAATACGACCTGAAGGTCAGTTAGTTGACACAATAAGACCTGAAGGTCAGTCAGTTGACACTTTAAAATGCCAAGATATTTGTTCTGATGTAATTGCTTCTGAAAATTCTAAAACAGAAGAAGGAACAGATAGTCACCCTATCCAAAAAAACAAAGAGGAAATATTTGATGATATTGGATTATACATAGTGAACACTTACAGTCTAGCCAGCAATGATGTCAGTTCTAAAACAGAAAACAACCTTGAGAATACCCAGTCAGCAGAACAGAATCAACCAACTCAAAAGAGAATACCACCACTGAAAATTAAGCTGCCTTTTAGAAAGAGCCCAAAGAAAAAGAGATTTGGTAATTCAAGGAAATCAAAATTTGTCAGTCCTATTAAATTGGTTCTCAACAAAAATGGCAAAAAACAAATAGAAATTAGGAAACCAAAAGCATTTATGTTTGATCAGTCTAATTCTAGTGAAAGTATAGCTAGTAGCTCTACAACAAATGCTATTGACGAGAATGTTGGTAACAATTCAATATCTTCAACACTGAATCCAAGTGATAGTGGAAAATCATTAGGTGATGTTGTTGAAAAAGTGAAACAGAAAAGGCAGAGAAGGAGGTCAGCAGTATTGATCGATCAAATGGGAAAAGTTCTAAGTTCTGAAGAAAATGTACAAGTGAAAACGACAGAAAAAACAGAAACTGTTATTGAAAATAATAAGCAGGATAAGGAAGAGTCTGAAAATGCTGAAAATGTTATTTCTGGTAGTGAAAACATTGATGTACCAATGCTATCATCCTCTGAAAACATAGTATCTAGTGAACAAATCGCACCTCCCTTGAAAGAACCAAAAAAATCAGACAGTTTAAGCAGGGAAGAAAGAAATAGAGAATTAATTGAAAAGAATTGGGTTCACATTGAAGCAAAACTAAAATTAGTAGAAAAAAATCTAAAGAACAAAAGTCCACAAAAGAAGCAACCATTGCCATTAGAATCTAAGACTGTTGAGAAAACACCAAGTTTGAAAAGGAAATCAGTTGAAATGAAACCCGATAATAGTAATAATGAACCTGTTTCTAAGAAAAAGTCTCCACTGAAAGAAAAATTGTTCAAGTCACCTTCAAAAAAGATCAAAAGTCCCAGAAGTACTAAATCTCCAAACAAAAATGCAAAACAAGACAAGGTTACTCAATCTAGCTTAACATGCTCAAGAGAAAGTTCTAAATCTGAAGAGGGAAGTTCGACACCAAAATCAGGAAGAGGCAAAAAGGGAGGTAAATCTAAAAAGGAAAGCCCTAAAAAAGACAATAACATCTCAGTTGACATTAGTGGGAATCCTAGTAAAAGACGTAAATTAAGTGGCACAGTAGACAAAAGATTGTCTGATTCAAAACTTTCTCCCACATCTGCCTCTCTTCAATCTTCTAGTTCTGTTGAGGAAAAATTATCTTCTGGTGATGTGATAGTTGTTGGAGAAGATAGAATAAGTGGTATTCCAAATGAACAAACACAGGATATAACTGAGTTAATTTCATCTATAACTTATCCATCATTTTTCATTACTTTTCATGGTAAAAGAGTTTTATGTCTAAATTCCTCTTCTGGCAAACTATTATTAATGAGAGAAATTTTAAGAAGGAATTTTAAAGATGTTGTAAATAAGAACTCACAACATGATACAGACATGCAGAAGCAATTTAAAACTGTTTATTTGGCAAAGGAAAGAGACTTGAAAATCTGTTACAATGAAATCCCAGAGGAGCATAAAAACTTAGCTGTCAAATATTTAAAAGCCGAAAAATTGTTGAAAACACAGAAAATGCCAGCACATCTAGGTGTGATAACTCTTGAAAATGCTTTAAGATTGTACCATTATATGAATGGTACAAAAACTTGTTCAATGAACTGTTTAGAAATGTGGTCCCCAAAGGAATCAAACAATATACCAGGAAACTCAGATGAAGGATCCGTGGATCCACTTTCTGTTCCTAACAACACCAATAAATCAAAAGAATTTAAAAGCAGAGGCAGAAAAAACAACAGTGGGTATGATAGCGACGAAACCATAATTTATGAAGATCAAAGTGGGCCACCATCCCAAAATCAAAACACAGACGAAGAAAATAATGACAGCAGTAGATTAGTGTTACGGGGAGGGGTGGCAGAATGCTACCAGGCATACTTTAGGTATATTGTTGTGGAAGGTGAAAAGTTTTATCCATACGAGGACTTATTGTTAAAATTTGGCAAAATAGCCTTAACACGTGCATTACAGAGTAAACTTCCAGAAAAGTTTCTGGCTTATAAATGTAGTGAGGTTGAGGCAGATTTCCTAAATAAATTGGAGGACTTATTACCAACTTTAAGTATAGAAGCAACTCTGTTAGAGGAATCACTATTTCAAAAAGTGGCAAGTACTGTAGAAAGTAGTAACATACATGGTGAAGTGGTTGATTTAACAGTTGATGACATGGCAAATGAATCTAGAATGGACAATGATGATATTAATCTATCTCAAGATGATTCTATTATCGAAATCAGTTTTAATTCACCGCAATCTCCTCCACAGTGTGAAGAAACAAAACATATCATCTGTAATGAAATTGCTGAAAATAATGTAGAACCTACAAGCGTTGATACTCCAACTGAAATTCCACAACTTTATCAAAGTCCTCCAACAGAAGACACATGTCTACAAAGTACAGACATAAAACTTAATCAAACTGAAAAAGCTGTTTGTGATTCCACAACAGATGGTTCTCATACAATTGAGGAAAATAACAATGATGGCAATTCATCAAGTGTGATAATCGGGAACAATGACTTAGCTGCTATGTTAGCTGAACTTGAAAGTGAATTTGGCAGTTCTTCTGATAATGGAATAGCAACAGATATCTCTGCTGGATCTGCTCTTCGTAAGTATTTTAATAATGACATATCAATATATACATGTTCTTATAATGACATGTCAACAGATATTTGGCTGGATCTGCGCTCAGTAGATATGTTCTGATAATGACATGTCAACAGATATTTGGCTGGATCTGCTCTCAATAAGTTTGTTCTGACAGTGACATGTCGATAGATATTTGGCTGGATTTGGTCTTATTATGTTCTAACAATGACATGTCATCAGATATTTGGCTGGATTTTCTCTTAAAGTGCATGCTCTGATGATGACATGTCAGGAGATATTTGGCTGGATCTGCTCTCAGTAAGTACATGTTCTTAAAATGACATGTCAACAGATATTTGGTTGGATCTGCTCTCAGTAAGTACATGTTCTGATAATGACATAGCAACAAAAAGCCTACACAATACTTTTTAGGGGAGAGGGTTTTTATAGAAAACAGAAATGAAAAGTTAACAATCTATAGCAAATGCTCACAGTTCAACTTGTTATAATTCATTGAAAACTAACTATCAAAATAAGTTGAATTTTGAAATTAGATAAATGTTAGTTGATGCAATCAAACTAAATGGTAAAGAAAAAGCTCTTTTAAGATGAGAGACCTAAAAAAGAATGTGTGTTAAATATAAACAATGGTTTGCATAGAATAGTGTAAACATTTTTTTATGCAACAAGAAAAAAAATGTCAAATTTGAATTACCAGCAATTTGTCAACGGCAACATTTTATTAAACTCTTTATACATATTGAAGCCCATAAAAACCTGTTTCACAGCTACCATTCCAGTTTTCATGTTTCCATGACATTGAAGTTAGAATAAGATTATTGTATTTGTCAATTTATGTGATACTTTGATGATTGAAAGGATAAGAACAAAAAATCTAAAGTAAAGGTATAAGACTGGGTATGATAAGGACAAGATTTGGCATCCACTTTTTGGCAATGTTGAAAAAGATAGTCTAGTTCTAAAAGATGGAAAAATTGTGACAGAGGCTGTAGGAAAAGTAGCCCAAAATTTAGCAATGGTTGAAAAACATCAATATTTAGTTAGTTTCTATATAATACAATTGAATATTAGCAGCTTCATGTCTCTATACCACAAATATAATAAAGAAGGGTTCAGCAAATATGATTATCACTTTTTGTGCATCATAAATTTAGACTTGGTAATATTTAATCCTCTTTAAAACAAATATGTTGATTTTTGCCAGTCTTATTTTCTATTTGATGATCTGCCACTTTTTAGCTCACCTGACCTGAAAGGTCAAGTGAGCTTTTCTCATCACTTTGCGTCCGTCGTCCGTAAACTTTTACAAAAATCTTCTCCTCTGAAACTACTGGGCCAAATGCACCCAAACTTAAACACAATCATCATTCAAGTATCTAGTTTAAAAAATGTGTCCGGTGACCCGACCAACCAACCAAGATGGCCGCCATGGCTAAAAATAGAACATAGGTGTAAAATGTAGATTTTGGCTTATATCTCTGAAACCAAAGCATTTAGAGCAAATCTGACGTGGGGTAAAATTGTTTATCAGGTCAAGATCTATCTGCCCTGAAATTTTCAGATGAATCGGACAACCCGTTGTTGGGTTGCTGCCCCTGAATTGGTCATTTTAAGGAAATTTTGCCGTTTTTATACGACCGCAAAAATTAAAAATTTTTTGGTCGTATATTGGTATGACGTTGGCGTCGTCGTCGTCTGGCGTCGTCCGGCGTCGTCCGAAGACACATTGGTTTTCGCACTCTAACTTTAGTTTAAGTGAATGGATCTCCATGAAATTTTACCATAAGGTTCAATACCACGAAAGGAAGGTTGGGATTGATTTTGGGGGTTATGGTACCAACAGTTAAGGAATTAGGGGCCAAAAAGGGGCCAAAAATAAGCATTTTTGTAACTTCCAGACAATAACTTGTGTGTAAGTGTATGGATATCTCTGACATTGTACCACAAGGTTCCATATCACAAAGGGAAGGCTGTAATTGATTTTGGGGGTAATTGCCTCAAAATTTTAGGAATAAGGGGCCAAAAAAGGGGCAAAAAACAAGCATTTTTCTAGTTTCATGACAATAACTTGTGTGTAAGTGTTTGGATATTTCTGAAATTGTACTACAAGGTTCTATATCACAAAGGGAAAGCTGGAATTGAGTTTGGGGGTAATTGCCCTAAACGTTTAGGAATTGGGGGCCAAAAAGGGGCCAAAAATAAGCATTTTTCTAGTTTCCAGACAATAACTTGTGTTCAAGTGTATGGATCTCTCTGAAATTGTACTGCAAGGTACCATACCACAAAGGGAAGGCTGGGATTGAGTTTGGGGGTGATGAATCATAAGGGGGTTCAAAAAATTGGGGGGGGGGATTTTTTTTCTTTTCTTTTTTTCCTTTTTTTTTTCTTTTAAAATTTTCCATTTTAAGTTGGTTATTTCTGATTTATATTTAAAAGCAAATAATAATGATATGGTAGGAGATACACACCAAACAGGATGTGTAAATTATTATATAATAAGTATTGTGCAATAGCAAGAAATTTTCAATTGCACAGTATTGCACAATAGCAAGAAATCTTCAATTGCACAGTATTGCGCAATAGCAAGAAATCTTCAATTGCACAGTATTGCACAATAGCAAGAAATATCTAATAGCACAATATTGCGCAATAGCAAGAAATTGTCAATTGTACAGTATTGCGCAATAGCAAGAAATATTCAATTGCACAGTATTGTGCAAAAGAAGATACTTCGTATAAATTGCTTATTTCTTGATCAATTTCAATGGGGTTTTATTCTTGAATTCTTGGGGTTCTTTAATATGCTGAATCTAACTGTGTATTAAGTTTTTGGATTTTGGGACCCGTTTTTTAATTGGTCCACATTGAGGTCCAAAGGGTCCAAAATTTAACTTTGTTTGATTTCATCAAAAATTGAATTATTGGGGTTCTTTGATATGCCGAATCTAACCGTTATTTAGATTCTTAATTTTTGGTTCCGTTTTCAAATTGGTCTACATTAAGGTCCAAAGGGTCCAAAATTAAACTTAGTTTGATTTTAACAAAAATTGAATTTTTAGGGTTCTTTGATATGCTGAATCTTAACATGTATTTAGATTTTTGATTATGGGCCCAGTTTTCAAGTTGGTCCAAATCGGGGTCCAAAATTAAACTTTGTTTGATTTCAACAAAAATTGAATATATGGGGTTCTTTGATATGCTGAATCTAACCATGTATTTAGATTTTTGATTTTTGGGCCCCGTTATCAACTTTGTCCACATTGAGGTCAAAAGGGTCCAAAATTAAACTTTGTTTGATATCATCAAAAATTGAATTCTTGGGGTTCTTTGATATGCTGAATCTAACCATGTATTTAGATTTTGGATATTGGACCATAAAAGGTGAATGTCCAATTTAAAATTTTTAAGTTCTTAGACCACATTCATTCTGTGTCAGAAACCTATGCTGTGTCAAATATTTAATCACAATCCAAATTCAGAGCTGTATCAAGCTTGAATCTTGTGTCCATACTTGCCCCAACTGTTCAGGGTTCGACCTCTGCGGTCGTATCAGCCTGCGCCCTGCGGAGCATTTTATTGGTTATTATCTTGAATATTATTATAGATAGAGATAAACTGTAAACAGCAATAATGTTAAGCAAAGTAAGATCTACAAATAAGCCAACTTGACCAAAATGGTCAGTTGACCCCTTAAGGAGTTATTGCCCTTTATAGTCAATTTTTAACCATTTTTCGTAAATTTTTGTAATCTTTTACATAAATCTTCTCCTCTGAAACTACTAAGACAAATTTAACCAAACTTGTCCACAATCATCATTAGGGTATCTAGTTTAAAAAATGTGTCCGATGACCCCGCCTGCAAACCAAGATGGCCGACATGGCTAAAAAATAGTACATAGGGTTAAAAGCAGTTTTTGGCTAATATCTCTGAAACCAAAGCATTGAGAGCAAATCTGACAAGGATAAAATTGTTCATTAGGTCAAGATCTATCTGCCCTGAAATTTTCAGACCAATCAGGCAACACGTTGTTGGGTTGCTGCCCTTGAATTGGTAATTTTAAGAAAATTTTGCAGCTTTTGGTTATTATCTTGAATATTATTATAGATAGAGATAAACTGTAAACAACAATAATGTACAGCAAAGTAAGATCTACAAATAAGTCAACATGACCAAAATTGTCAATTGACCCCTTAAGGAGTTATTGCCCTTTATAGTCAATTTTTTACAATTTTCATAAATTTTGTAAATTTTTGTAAATTTTTGCAAAATATTTTCCACTGTAACTACTGGGCCAAGTTCATTATAGATAGAGATAATAGTAAGGAGCAAGAATGTTCAGTAAAGTAAGATCTACAAACACATCACCATCACCAAAACACAATTTTGTCATGAATCCATCTGTGTCCTTTGTTTAATATGCACATAGACCAAGGTGAGCGACACAGGCTCTTTAGAGCCTCTAGTTTTTAAGAGATGCTTTAAAAACCAGTTTTATATCTTTCAGAGTTTATGACAGAGTCGTTTAGTAATTCCAGAAATATGATTGAGACATTGCTGAATATTTGGAAACATGGTGTGTGTGGTAGATATAGTATGTAGAGCAAATTGTAATATTTACCCATTCAAAACTTATTTCAACCCATGATGCCCAAAATGTCGCTTAGACTATCTGAATAGCATATTGCAACATTAAATGAAAATATAAGTACTGTACATTCAGAAATTATTGTGTTCATTTATTTTTGCAATTTTTGAAGAATAGACAAAAATGTGAGATTTAATATCTTGATTTTAGGAAAATCTGCAAACAGATATACCTGTATGTATCAGACATGTCAAATATCAGATGCTAGTTTTTATATGCGCGTTTACAGGAAGTATTATGGGTATACCGTTGTCCGTCCGTGGTCAACATGTCGGACAATAACTCAAAAACGCTTTAACCAATTTGCGTGAAACTTTGGTGAATTGTTTATATCTATTGACGTGAGCTCCCTTTTGTTTTTTATAAATTTTAGATTTACGTTTCTGAGTTATGGGATTTTATTCATTAAAAAATGGGGATTTTCCAGTTTTCGGACAATAACTCAAAAACACTTTCACCAATTTGCAAGAAACTTTGGTGAATTGTTTATATCCATTGATATGAGCTCCCTTTCGATTTTTATAAATTTTAGATTTTCTTTTCCGAGGTATGGTGGTTTATTCATTAAAAAAAGGGGGATTTTCCAGTTTTCGGACAATATCTTTAAAGTGCTTTAATAAGTTTTCATGAAACTTTGATGACTGGTTTATATCTATTAAGATAACCTCCCTTTAGTTTTTCATAAATTTCTGATATGACATTGAGAAGTTATTGAACTTTATTCTTTGAAAATGCGACGGGCGTATCATGAGCTCATGGTGCAGCTGTTTATTATTATTGGGATCCTCATCGAGTCTCATTATTCGCATTAATAAAAACCTCGCAATAATTTCTGAGTTTACAGTACATGTATATAATCCTAAGACAACATTTAAGTCAAATCATATCTTATAAAATGTTAAGAAATGGTATTTTCAAGTACATTAGTGTAAGACACCTGAGTGATGTATATAAGAATGAACAACACTTTGAAATTTAGGTCATATTTCTTATAACAGGAATACATTATTCTTTGGAAAGTCCAAATACAATCAGGATATGTTGGGATCAGATGGGATAACTTGAGAGCAAGCACTCCTATATGTAATTAAATGAAATATCATTTTTCCAAGAACTTAGAAGTACAGTTAGAATTTTATTTTTAATTAGGGTTGATGTGAAGTTTATCATCATTTGTTAATTTTGATACTGTGAATTCAAAAAAAAAAATTTTCTATTACTTTGAAGATAGGTTTTGCAAATTTTTTCTAAATAACTCACATATTCAAAATATTTATCATAATGATTATCCTTATGCAGCACTTCTTGAAATAGCAATACCTTACCTTACATTATGTCCATTGTTCAACATTCCCTTTATCTACTGCATGCATAAATCTCTAAATCTAAAGTATATTTATTGCTTGACTAGAAATAAGAAAGATAAATTATTAACTCGCACAACTTTTTTTTTCTGATGGAAAAGGTGTTGAATTATCAGAAAGAGAGACAACTCCTACATTACTTCAACGTTACATTACTTCAACGTTGTACTGATAAGTCGTTGAGAGATCAACAGTTTATTGGTATACAGACCCCCGGAGAGGGTGAAAAACTGAAAGTACAAAATAACAATCATAAGCATACTATTAAGGCAACACTTATACAATAAATGTCAAATAGTAGTACATTCACAAAGAAAATGGTTATACAGTTCAATACAAGTAACTCTTGTACACTACACTTCGAAATACAACATAAATATATCAGAAAAAGATTGCACACACGTATCTAAATATGCAAGAAAATTGAAAGGTTGCATTTGTCATTGACTGTACTCTTCATACCACGCACGATATAAATTTTACACACGTTGAGACTGTGCGGGACTGTATTTCAAGAAAATTCGAGCGTGACCCTTGTCTACATCAATAAGACACAAAAATAAATCCTCACATGTGGGATTGACAAATAATGAATGGAATTTAAGGGGGAAATGCATACATAAAAAATACAAACAGTACTGTATATTCACAGCGGCAATATTTACTCATGTCGTGTGTAAATGAACACCAATAATCAAATATGAAGTTGCATAAAATGTGTAATTAAACAATATACACAACGATATAAAAAATGAGCACAAATATAAAAGGTTAACTTACTCTAGTGGTGGATAAAACTTCCAAGTAGAAAAACAACGTGTTTCAGTTTTGACAATAATCGAGGGATTGATGAGACTGGGGAATGAAATGATAAGAAAGGGACGACATGGTCAATTCGGCACTTAGTCAAAACAGTACACTCCTCCTCTGATTTCTTTATGAAATCACTACATTTTCAAAATTAAAAGATAATGTCATATGACAAATTAACATGTGTTTCCCTAACAATGTTATACAAATTGTTCGTGTATTAAATGTGATTGAATAAAACACAATGTCACTATTATAGTCAGTCAGCTTCAAGGAGAGTAACCAATTCGGTAATTGGTCTGGAATAAGTTGTGCGCTTTCCGTCTTTGACTATGGCGACTTCCACTTTACGAATTTTGCCATCCGAGCTTGGAAATACCCTGTCCACAAGTCCTACGGGCCATGAATTACGTGGCGCATCCTGATCTTTCATGAGAATTAAGTCACCAACTTGTAGATTACGACGGTCAGTTTGCCACTTTGTACGAATCTGAAGTTCATGAAGATATTCGGATTTCCATCTACGCCAAAACTCTTCTGCTAATCCTTGTGCGCATTTCCATTGAGCTTTCAACATATCCTTTGGACCGAATAAAGGAAACGGTTTCACGTCTGGTGAAGTTTTCATCGTAAGAAGTGACGACGGACTCAAAATACTGGGACACTCTGGATCAGTCGAAACTGGTAGTAACGGTCTATTGTTTATGATGGCCATAACTTCAGCCATGAGAGTAACAAGCATTTCGTGTGTAATTGTCCTACTTTTGTTTTCCAATAACAAGCCGTCGAGTATCCGACGAGAAACACCGATAAGTCTCTCCCATGAGCCGCCCATATGATGTGCATATGGTGGATTGAATTTCCAGGTAGTTCCGGATTTCAGTAAGAATTCCTTGATTGGTCCTTTTTCGACAAATTCAGGGTCAATATTGAGCTCTGATGTTGCTCCAATGAAATTAGTTCCTCGATCAGAACGAAATTGTATGATAGGACCTCTAACTGCAATTACGCGTCTCATAGCGTTGATGAAAGACGAGGTTGACATGTCTTCTATCACTTCGATATGCACAGCGCGTGTGGTCATGCATGTAAACAGTAACGCCCAACGTTTCTGGTTGGCTGAGCCTCCTCTAGTTTTACGAAATACGACGGACCATGGACCGAATGTGTCCACGCCGACATAAGAGAATGGTGGACATGGGCTAAGTCGATCTGTTGGGAGATCGGACATTTGTTGCCATTCAAGTTTTCCTCTGAGCTTCTTACAAATTATGCACTTGTTGATGAGAGTTGAAATAGAACGTTTTGCACTAATAATCCAATAGCCTCCGGCACGGATGGCCCCTTCCGTCAACTGTCGGCCTTGATGGTGTATACTTTCATGAAAATGATGAATAATAAGTGACGAAACATGGTGGTTCTTTGGAAGGATCACAGGATGGTGCGACATGTCTAATGAATCATTTACAGGAGCCTGTTTGAGCCTTCCTCCTACTCGTACGAGTCCATCTGAACCTAGTATAGGAGACAGCTGAGCCAACTGGCTTTTTGATGTTATGCTTTTACCTTCTTGAAGCAACTTAATCTCGTCGGAAAAGGCATCCTGCTGAACTGAACGTAGTATTAAGTTTTCAGAGTCTCTTAGCAGATCGGGCGAAATAACTCCGTCTTGGTGCAGTTTCTTACGAATTACCGATTTTATAAAGGCAATGCTTCTAACGAGACGTGTCCATTGAGAAAACCTGTCGAATCTACTACATCCTAATGAAGTTTCATTGCATTCGATTTGGAGTTCTGTTTTCTTACAGCTAACTGATGGACGAATTTCTTTGTCATTTTCTGGATCTTCTAGTAAGTGATCGTGTTCATCCTGTTTGTTGTTAGTCAAGAGCATGTCGGAGCCCTTTATCCAAAGGCTCTCTGGAAGATCTATCGTGCTGATGGACCTAGTAGCCAAATCAGCTGGGTTTTCATTGGTAGACACATGAGACCACTGATTAGGTTGACATGAAGAACGAATTCGACTGACTCTGTTACCAACATATATGTAGAAGCGTCTTGTTTCGTTTGTCAGATATCCAAGTACTACACGACTGTCTGTATAATAATAAAAATCATCTGGGTTGATATCTAATTGATCTCGAATAATGTCGGAAAGCTCTGCTGCTAAGACTGCAGCACACAGTTCCAGACGGGGGATTGTGTGTCCGTGAGACGGGGCAACTTTGGCTTTCCCGAAAAGAAAGCTAATGTTAACAGTATTTGCACTATACAATTTAATATATGCGACAGCTGCGATTGCATCTTCAGAAGCGTCTGAGAATATGTGAACCTCCCGTTTAACACTATTGGCGAATGAAGGTCCATTGTACTTTCTAGATATACACAAATTTTCAAGTTCGCTCAATGAATGTACCCACGATTCCCATTGCTGATTCAGTAATTCTGGAAGTGGATCATCCCAATCAATAGTAGATGAAGATGAGAGCATTTTACGCATGAGTAATTTGCCTCTAATGATAACTGGTGCAGCAAAGCCAATTGGGTCATACAGACTGTTGATTGTTGAAAGAACTCCGAGGCGTGTAAATGGCTTGATGTTGGAAGACACACTAAAGGTAAACTCGTCCAGTTCTGTGTCCCATGAGAGACCTAAGCTTCTCTGCATCGGGAGATCTGCCGATCCAAGGTCAAGGTCCTTGAGATTTTTGGCAAGGTCATCTGAATGAAATGCTTCTAGCACTAACCTGCTGTTAGATGCAACTTTATGCAATCTAAGTCTACCGTTTTCGTATAAAGTTTTCTTAGTTCTTTGAACAAGATCAATAACTCCCTCTGGAGTTGCACAAGAGGTAAGTCCGTCATCTACGTAAAAGTCGTTGCTAACAAAGTCTTTCACATCAAGTTCAGCGCGTTGGACAGTTTGTCTCAGACCATACGTAGCCACTGCTGGGGACGGACTGTTTCCGAAGACGTGTACTAACATCTGATATTCTGTAAGTGGTTTTTCAAAATCGTTGTCCTTGTGCCACAGGAAGCGCAAGAAACGTCTATGTTCATCTATGACTCTGAAGTTATGAAACATTTGTTCGATATCAACGGTAACGGCGTAAGCCTCTTTCCTAAAACAGAGTAATATTCCAAGAAGGCTGTTATAAATGTCTGGACCTTTCAACAAGACGTCGTTCAAAGATAGTCCATGATGTTTTGCAGAAGAGTCAAAAACTACTCTTACACTCTCTGGTTTCCTTGGATGATACACTGCGAACATAGGCAAGTACCAGCACTCAGTACCTGGCGATAGTTTGGGTGCTATCTGGGCATGTTCTCGATCAAACAGTTTCTGCATAAAATCTAACACTTGTGTGCGCTTTACGGAGTTGCAACGTAAATTCATATCAAACGATTTAGCTCTACGCTCTGCAATTTGTTTGTTGTTTTCTAAAGAAGGTTTGTTGGGTTTAAAAGGTAGTGGAGCGATCCAGTGTCCATCATCTTGTTTGAAGAATCCCGATGACATTATATTCAAAAAGGTTTGATCCTCTATTGACACACCTTCCTTTTCGTCTAGTTTAGTCTTGTCGAAGATTGGGTCTAATTTAACTGACATCTCGCTATCACACGGAGACAATAAAGTAGGTCGTCCGTTGCCTAGGATTACAGTTTTATTTACATTAACTACTTTTTGTCCATGAAATCTACCAAGACATACATTGCCTACAATAACCCATCCTAAAGTTAAACGCTGTGCATACGGTACTTCGTCAGCTCCTACACGGTGTTCAATAACATGGTGTGCTCTAATAAGGTCACGGCCTATTAACATCTGTATTTCAGACTGATTGTCAATGTCAGGAATACAACTTGCTATGTCCATCATGTGCGGATAACTTGAAGCTACAACAGATGAGGGTATTTCCTCCCGATTGTTTGGAATGTCATTACATTCGATTATTTCAGGTACGTTAAGACAGAATGATCCGTCAAGCGATGCTAACACGTATCCGGAAGCTCTTCGTCCACTAGTAACGAACCTTCCTGCACAAGAAGCAAGTACATATTCGGTTTCAGTGTCGTTTTCTCGGAAGAAGTTGAAGAAATCTGACGTTGCTAAAGTCCTGTTACTTTGGTCATCGATCACACAGTAAACAGTTTTGAAATGATCTGGTCTATCAGAGTGATATACTTTGGCGAGTACTATCTTAGCACATGATTTACTGGTATTGTGTATCGAGTCACATATTTTGGTGCATTTGCTGCTAATCTGTTCCTTAGAATTCTCCTCCTCGTGCTTTTTCTGGGGTTCGGCTGTAATATCTACATGTAAGGCTGACGGATGGTCACGAGAACAACACACACTGCATTTGACATCCTCTTTACACTTGTCACGGAAATGTCTCTTAGGTCCGCAACACTTGAAACACAAACCTTTCTGCTTAATTAAATCAAGTCTCTCTGACAATGGTTTAGCACGGAAACCACGGCACGTGTTAAGTGTATGATTAGTTCCATGGAGGGGACACACGTCCTCATTTTGCTTCTGAATAGGTGGTCTATTAACACTTGTGTCCAATGTCGGTTTTAATGCTTGAAACTTGCGCAGGACTTCGAAAACGATTTTGTACTCTCGTTTGTCTAGATGTGGTCGGTTTGGTGTCTTGATTGTCATATAAAAATCCAGGGTCATTACGCACTTTAGCAATGTTTTGCAAGAATGGCACAAAGAAGGAGAATGGCGGATATGCTCCATGGTTTTTTGACTTATAACCATTGGCAGTAGTAGTCCATTTTTCTTGAATACTGTAAGGTAATCTGGTTACAAAACGATTCACACCTAGAGACGAATCAAAGTAAGCGAATGTGGTGGCAAACTTTTCATCTTTGCGAATAGACTCGATCTCAGCAGCTAAGTCCGCTAACTCGTAGAGTTCCTTTCGGTTATTGTTTGAAAGTTTCGGGAAGTTAACTATACGTGAGTGAAGTGACGACTCTATCATCTCTGGACTACCGAATCTAGCATCTAAGCGTTCCCATATAAGCCGCACTGCAGTATCCGGATTATTGGCATTAGCACATCTAATGTTCTGAGCATGCTGTTTTGAGCTTGGTCCCAAATACTTTATTAGAAGGTCCAACTGTTCCAAAGGATTTGTATCTAACTCGGTCATTATGTGTTGAAAACTAATTTTCCAAGATGAGTAATGTGAAGGTTGGTCATCAAATGATATGAGCCTAGATGTAATCAAGTCTTTCTTTACCATAAACTTGGCCAATTCTTGTGCTTCGTTCCTCTGGGTCGGAACAAAAGGTCGTGCTATTGGATTCAATGGTCCTAAAGAATGAACAGGAATGTTAACACTGTTTGCTTGAAAGTCATTTTCGGTCAAATGAGAAGCATGCTGTGAGCGCTGTTGCTCCACAAATTCTGCTGTACGTCGTTCTGTAATGTTATGTGTATCTGGTACTTTAGAACTATGGTACTTTCTTTCAGATATCCTGTCTACATCGGCATACTGAACTACCGGATTAGCAATTATTGGTGGTTCATAACTTTCACCATAGTCATTAGGATCATAATTCAAAGCCTTCTTAACGGCTTGCAATCCCGACTCAGCTTCGTCGACTTCTCGCTTCATAGAGAGGACGTTTCTCTCTGCTTTGAGTGTAGCTTCGCGGTGCAACAGTTCTGCCTCCTCTTTGGCATATTTAAGTCGTGTCTTTGCGGTTTCCAGTTTCACAGTTTGTTTAAGAATCTCTGATTGAGCACTAAGTGACGAGTTTCTTGTTGACCCAGTATGACGGGAACTATGATGGGAGCTACGACTTTTAAGAGTTCGTTCACTATCTTGTTTGGATCTACTAGGTAGCAATTCACTAAGATGTTGTTTGACGACGGATATTTTGGCCTTTAACGCATAGAATGACACTTTAAATGATGCATGCTCGATTTCACTTTCTTTTGTCCTATATGATTTTAAGAAATCAAAATATGTGTTAGCTTCTTTTTCAAACTTTTCTGATAGTTTTGAAATTTCATCTCTGTACGTCGACGCTGTGGAGAGGTCCACCACTGGATTATCTTCTACGTCTAGTATAATAGCGTCGATATCTCTCTTAATAGTTCTAATAATGTATTGATGTCGTTCATTAGACTGTTGGAAAAGGTGATCTCCATCAGATGTAAGTGTTCTAGAAGTTCTTAACTCTCTTTCAGAAACGGATTCTGACTGTGACATGTTGAATCTATCTTGGGTTTATGTCTATAATGTAGATTTTTCACTGTACTGATAAGTCGTTGAGAGATCAACAGTTTATTGGTATACAGACCCCCGGAGAGGGTGAAAAACTGAAAGTACAAAATAACAATCATAAGCATACTATTAAGGCAACACTTATACAATAAATGTCAAATAGTAGTACATTCACAAAGAAAATGGTTATACAGTTCAATACAAGTAACTCTTGTACACTACACTTCGAAATACAACATAAATATATCAGAAAAAGATTGCACACACGTATCTAAATATGCAAGAAAATTGAAAGGTTGCATTTGTCATTGACTGTACTCTTCATACCACGCACGATATAAATTTTACACACGTTGAGACTGTGCGGGACTGTATTTCAAGAAAATTCGAGCGTGACCCTTGTCTACATCAATAAAACACAAAAATAAATCCTCACATGTGGGATTGACAAATAATGAATGGAATTTAAGGGGGAAATGCATACATAAAAAATACAAACAGTACTGTATATTCACAGCGGCAATATTTACTCATGTCGTGTGTAAATGAACACCAATAATCAAATATGAAGTTGCATAAAATGTGTAATTAAACAATATGCACAACGATATAAAAAATGAGCACAAATATAAAAGGTTAACTTACTCTAGTGGTGGATAAAACTTCCAAGTAGAAAAACAACGTGTTTCAGTTTTGACAATAATCGAGGGATTGATGAGACTGGGGAATGAAATGATAAGAAAGGGACGACATGGTCAATTCGGCACTTAGTCAAAACAGTACAAACGTTATTTACAGGTGTAAGCCACATAAATTTATAATTCATCTATAAGTCCCCCGAGTGTAAACAGAGTTGTATTTTGTATATTTTCAGCTAAGTTATCTGCATTGCAAGCAGAAATGAATGATTTGAAAACTGGAACCAACAAGGTTTTGTCTACATGTGAAAAGTATCAAGGTAGGTAATGTAGTGTTAATGTGCACTGCTAGCATATAAAACTGCTTGTTTTACAATTCTACCATGAACCATTGTTGTGTCAAACAAATGAAATTACAATAATGTCATATTATATAGTTGTAAATACTACTACTAGGGTGTGTTTAACGACCTTGAATACCCATGAGGGTCTCGAAGGGTAGGTCTGTTATAAATAATTCAATCTTTTTGTGATAGGGGTGAGCAGCTGAGACATCCAGTACCACAACCTTTTCCTATATTTAAAAATGCATACCCTTATATAATTTTTTTTCGCAAAAACATATACCTGTAGATATTTTAACAAAATATCATTAAAAAATTAAATGTAAGAACATCATTTTGTGGAAATGTCACTGCACGCTAAACTTAAAATAAAATGTTTTTTCCCTTCTTATTTTCCAGGGCTGATAAACAAAATTAAAGAGAATATAGAAGGTGTGTATATTTTACGACATTAAATTGAATTTGTAATCAAACTTAGGATTGAACACTAAAGTGTTAATTTTGATCAATTGGTAGATATAAGAAGATGTGGTATGAGTGCCAATGAGACAACTCTCCATCCCAGTTACAATTTGTAAAAGTAAACCATTATAGGTCAAAGTACGGCCTTCAACACGGAGCCTTGGCTCTCACCGAACAGCAACCTATAAAGGGCCCCAAAAATGACTAGTGTAAAACCATTCAAACAGGAAAACCAACGGTCTAATCTATATAAAAAATGAGAAACACTTATGAACCAGATCAATAAACGACAACCACTGAACATCAGGTTCCTGACTTAGGACAGGTGCAAACAAATGCAGCGAGTTTATAAACTTTTTAATAGGCGCCAACCTTCACCCTTCCTGAAACAATAGTGTAACATCACAACATAGAAAGACGCACTATAAAATATCAATTGAAATGGCTTAACTCAATCAAAAGACATATTAACAAAAACAAGTGAACATACACTGAACGAATAAATTTTATCTATGACAATGTAAATATACAAAATAAAACAAGGGGGTTAGATGTTTAACCATTGTTTACATATCAATGGTAAGTGTTTGATTTTTAATAGTATATGTTTGACTCTGTGTGTGTGTGTGTGTGTGCAGCTGTAAATGTCTGACTGTTATTGTCTGTCCAGTGGTAATTGTTTGACTGTCATTTGTCTGTTGTTTGTCTGTCCAGTGGTAATTGTTTGTTTGTCAACTGGTAAATGTTTTTCTGTTGTTTGTCTAGTGGGTGTTATTTGCTTGACTGTTGTTAGTATGTCCAGCATAAAATGTTTAAATTTGTTTTGAGTACTCCTAACTGTTGTTTGTATATGCAGTGGTAAAGTTTGATTGGTTTTTTTTTGTGAGTCATGTGGTAAAGGTTTGGATGTTTATTGTCCATTTGTTAAGGTTTGATTATTGTTCGAATGTCCTGTGGTGAATGCATGCTTATTGTTCAAATGTCCTGTGGTGAATGCATGATTGTTGTAAGTTTGTCTGGTGGAAGTAAGTGTTTCTTGTAAATTCTGGTCAAGAACCAATAATGAGATAAATCAATTCTCTTTTTGTCCCCCCGTTTAACGCATTGCGGTGGACATGTAAATACCGTCCGTCCAGCCGGTCTTGTTAGTGCTCTCATGGGTACAATTCTTGCCAGATTTTTTAAAAACTTATACTATAGGTTAATATCAGCAATATCTAGGACAAATTCTATAATGGTGTACGATCCACTTTTTTTAAAGAGTTATGACCCTTGGAAATATTAAATTTATGGAAAATGGCCTATTTAGCGCTCTCACGGGTACAGTTCTTGCCAGATTTTTATAAAACTTATACTATAGGTTAATATCAGCAATATCTCGGACAAGTTCTATAATGGTGGATGATCGACTTTTTTAAAAGAGTTATGCCCCTTGGAATATAAAATATAAAAATATGTGCAATGCGGGGGACATTGGAACTCTGTGACTCTTTTCACAAAAAATCTTACGATTAAAATTTATTGTAAGTTATACTGAAATGTTTATGACTTACGAGTATTTTTACTCTGAAGATTTTTTGTGTAAAGAGTCAAAGTTCTTTTATTTCTTTAAAATGTGGGAGATAATTGGAAAATTTTAACTGTCACTTGAAAATGAGGCTGTTTTGGAATTGTCAGATATTTTACCTTTCAACTGTCTATATATATTGATTCCCTTGTAGTGTTCTCCAAACAAATATAGTAAAATTTTGCAGTAATTTATATTCAATGCTAAATTAGGAATGAAATTTGTAACTCACTATAACAGATAATAAAAGAAATGTGTTTTATGCCTCAGTTATGTTGATTTTTTCTTATAGAAAAAAAATTACTTCAGCTTTTGTATAATAAAATTGAATTATTTCAGGGAAAAAAGAAAATTGAGCTGGTGATAAAGTATAGGCCTAGCGAAGTAGAAGAGCTGTTAACACATAACATGTGAGAGACATTCCAATATCAACAGTATTATCAAACTCTCTATTATACATTTCATTAATCTTACCTGTAAATTTGAAACATGTCACTTAAGGTCATATGAACTGTGCAAAATATTTGTTTTTAGAAGATTTTATAATATCAGCAATAATGCATTTTATGGTGGGCAATGGTGTCCATTGTATTTATCTATCATTGCAAATATTTAATTGTTTGGCATATTTTGTCAAGTTGAACTGTACCATACATTATAATCATGTGCCAGAAAACGAACTTGTGTTCATGACTTTGTAATATTGTGATGTGGAATAGGTAAATATGTAATGTAATGACAGTGTATTATTAAAGCATTGAGTGTAATGTTGTGTATTAGGAAAGTGTGTAAATATATATATATAGCTAAAGTATCAGCACAGTGTAAAATAGGTAGTTTAATTAGCAAATAGTGTGACGTAGTGTATTAGTGAAGTGTGTAAATATGTAATATATTACCACATAATGTAGAAATGTAGAAATGTAGTGTTGTTATCATATAGTGTAAAGTAGTGTATTAGTGAAGTGTATAAATATGTATTGTATTGTTTAAGTATGTGCTATATTAGATCAGTGTACAAATAAGTTAGTCAAATAATTGTTAGATATTTCTGAATTTGAAAAAAAATTACATTGAAATAATTTTGAGATGCATGTAAATTGTGGGAGCAAAAATTACTTAAAGTCTTTTTTTTTTGTTTGGTATACACATTATTTGAATTTTCGTAAATTATATATGCATAATTGAATGAAAATAAGAAATTTTTAAGTACTTGACCAATAATGGTTCAATTAATTTGCTGGTATTGACTAAATGAATATATTTTGTTTGGTTTTGGTTTCTGAGGTAGTATATAAAAGGGGAGAAAACTATATCAGTATTTTTTTCATAAATTCCAAGGGTTCAAAGTTAAATATAAAATTACCAAAAAAATACTTTAATGTACAAATGTATGAATGAAAATAACTTGAGTTGGGATAGTATTGATTGTTTTTTAAATGAGTTATGATGTAATATAGTGTGGTAAATGTGTGTAGTGGTTAGTGACCTTGAGCCTCAGTTTTAGTTAGATATTAATGATAATTATCAAAATATGTGTTTACCTGTAAATAAACTGTTTAGCTGATGGTTTTTTTTTATATTATTTCCATAACTGATTCAGTATTTCTTTTATTTTAAATGTTGAAATGTTTACATGTTGAATGTTTGATTTTATTTTTGTAAAATCTGGTATGAAGGTGATTGTTATTGTAATGAATGTTGAACAAAAAGGATTATGTAAATTTGAACTTATTTGCATACAATTAATTAAGCATTCTTTTATGCATTAAAGTGAAAATTTTGGAATTGAAGAGAGAAAAAAAGTAATAAAGATCAGATATTCATCTAAAACTATAAGATATAGGACAAATTGAATACCAGGCTTATAATTTGGTATGCCAGATATGCATTTCATAAACATAAAACACTAATGGCACTCAATTAAAAACAGTTTGAAAACCAAGTCAAATAGGAGTAATATTTCAATTGCTAGTATTGACTTATTTGCACAGTTATTAACAGTAAAATAGTGGTGTTATTTTTTAAGCATCTTTCAAAACCCAGTTGAATAGGTAATTCCAATTTATTTTAATTCACATTCATGTCTCCAATCACATTCTTATCCATATTTTACACATGCAGAACAATTTGAATAAAGGCATTATAATTTGTGCAATCAGTATTTATTTTATTATAAAGATACCTGCAAATATGATCTCCAATACATTGTTTATGTAAAATTACCAACAGGTGCTTCCAGATATTATGTTTTGCCAAAAAGTTTTAAAGAGTAAACTGCTGCCATGTTTATTTATTATTTATTCTTTTGTACAATCCCATTGATTGATTAATAGCTGAGCATGTTGTGGTATGTATGTTTTATATGCAGTGATGACTATTATAGTTCACTAATTCATTAATTTTATAAGTTAGTAATATTTGATATTCATCTTTATAGGTTGAAAAATATGATTTTTTCTTTTGATTTTCACATTTGTTTCCTCTTTATGTCAATATCAAAAATGTTCTTTTTGGAATGTTATGCATCAGTGAAAAGAAAGTTTAAAAAATTAACTGAGTTAAAACCTTTTCATCTTGTTCAACTGTTGCAGCCATATCATGCTGTGCTAGACATAGCCTTAATTCTACCTCTGTGTTTATTATGTTGATGTTTATTTTATTATGTTTAAATTAGTGTACCAGTGCTATGCAAGTGCCAAATGAAGTCCCATAGTTTGCCATTACTTTGTAGTTTTGTACAGAATGTAGTTTGTAGAATTTTTCCGCATTTTTTAAGTTGTTCCTCATTTTTGTAGAGGGGCGTTGGTGGCCGAGTGGTCTAAGTAGTTACTACTGTAATCACTAGCCAGTCAACACAGAGGTTGTGAGTTCGAACCCTTCTTGTGAGGGTGCACTCGACTCCAATCTTAATTGACTAAGATTGTCAGTTTTCCTATCAAAGGTCGGTGGTTTTCTCCAGGCACTCCAGCTTCCTCCACCAATAAAAACTGGCCGCCACGAAATAGCCCAAAAGCGGTGCTTAAAAGTGGCATTAAAACACCAAAAATCAAAAATCAAATCATTTTTTAGATGAATTTCAAACTTTTATTATGGATCTTTATTGGCTGATGGTCACGTCATAATGCCAAACTATGTTTTCTGAAAAAGGAATCAAATGTTTTGAAATATTTTTGGTTAAATCTTAAAAGTTTCAAGAGAGTACTAGAAAACTTTCATGTTAATTTAACTTCAGTTATCAGTGTGCTGTTAATTAAACCAATGCTTAGACGGGGTGAAATGATACCATTAACTGGATTAACCTAGTACAACAGCATTTATATTTTATACAATTAGTCCCATCTTTTACTCTTTATTTGGTGCTGACTTCTAGGGGTAAAAGTTCTATCATTAATCTCTTATTACAAATACATACGCTTTGTACATACAGTGTTTACGGGTCATTTTAAAAGTTTGGTATGTTTTCAAAGTTTTACACATTTAGTTTTTAAAGAGGGATCTAAGTAAACTTTATACATGAAAATCAAAACTGGTTATAAGAGCAATAATAAATATAAAAGGCATTTAATAAATATGCACTATTCTTCATTGTTTTGTTTTTCTTGAATATTTATGGCACTGTATTCAGTGGTGTAGGTATTGTGCCTGTTAACATTGTTTTTTTATGAATTTGTTACCATTCATTAGATGAAGCTTTTTACTGTGTAGTATGATTCTAGATCAAATACTCATTTAACCGGATAGACAGATAATAGATGATGACATTGTACAGTTTTTGAACATATTAAACATTAAATTTACTGGAATTCCTGACATTATTTGAACATTTTTGTATTAAAATTGGAATAATTTATTGCAGTCTGTGGTTAAGGTTACAGTACTTTGAATTGACCAATCTTTTTGCAAAAAATATTTGCAGGACACTATCACTTGAACTATTAATCAGATATTCACCCTTTTTAGGGGAAGATAATGTCACTCTTGGTGAAAAAGACCCTATTGACTTTTAGGTCGCTAGGTCAAATCTGTAAAGATTGCAACTTGCCTCTGCACCCATGATGCTTCTATGGTTTTATCTTTGGATGTAAAGCAATATATTTTTGCAAACACCCATCAATGCTCTGCTAAAATCGTCTTAGAGGAATTCTGATTTAAATATTGTCTACACATGGCAATCCAATAAATCACGGACAGTCATACATTCTTTATAATTTGAACTTAATGACAAATTTCTAACAGTTTGTACAAATGTTTAATGTACCATAATGTTTAACATGCGTAGCAAGACAACTTTAAGAGTACCAAATAATGCTGATGTAACAGAACCTGATGAAATAATGAGAATTGCTGAAATGTATTTTGCTTATTTTGCAAAATTGAAAGCTAGAAAAATCAGCTAAAAAAACTCAGTCATGTGAAGGAAAACATTGCAGCTGTATGATGCTGTAATTAGAAGTAATAGATCTTTAAATGATATCATTTTAGTATCACCGTAAGGGTATTTATCTATAACAATTGCAGTTTTTTATGATTTTTGCATTCTTGTTATATATGTCCCATTTAAATAAAGCTGTTTATACTTGTTATTTAACCTTTTGATTACCAGAAGTTTGGATCAAGTGTTTGTATTCACTTCAGCCTTTACACTATTCAAATTTTTGTATGTTCATTAATTTCATTCTTTCCATACATTTCTTTAAGGGCAACTCCCTATTTCCTGTTATGTGAAAGCAGTTAGATCCCTTCATTTTCATTGTCAAAACAATAACTGGCCCAGGATTGACACCCAGTAATATAATTTGCTGTGCAGATACATCTGAGAGTATAACAACATGCCATCAGGTCATACGTCACTGGTTACAGCAAATTTCAGTTCTAAAGTACATGTACCAAGTCACGTACTACAATCATACAATAAGAATTTACTATTATATTATTGAATACTTATATTTGTGCCTTTTTTGCCGGTATCAGTGAACAAAAATTGGAAATATTAAAAAAAATCCTCTGGTTTAATTTGACCTTGACCTCATTTTCACGATTCATTTCTCAGTGTTAAGTTTTTGTGCTTTGGTCTGTTTTTCTTCAACTATATTTGTTGTATAGAAGGATTGTAAAGTGTATATGTCTGTCTGGCAAGTATCATCTGACCTTGACCTCATTTTCATGGTCCATTGGTCAATGTTAAGTTTTCATGGTTTAGTTTGTTTCTTAGATACTATAAGCAATAGGTCAACTATATTTAATGCGTAAATTGATTGTAAGGTGTACATGTCTGTCTGGCAAGGTTCATCTGACCTTGACCTCATTTTCATGGTTCAATGGTCAATGTTAAGGTTTCTTGGTTAAGACTGTTTCTTAGAAACTATAAGCTATAGGTCAACTATGTTTGATTTAATGAATGATTGTAAGGTGTACATGTATTTCTTGTTTGGTTTATCTGACCTTGACCTCATTTTCTTGGATCATGTGAAGTTTATGTGTTATTTGTAGTAAAGCTTTATATTTAGGACTATCAACATAAAATCTATGGTTAGTAAAGAAGGCGAGACATTTCAGCGTGTGCACTCTTATTATTCAAGGTCATTTTTGGTTTATCTGACCTTGACCTCAAATAAAAAGCTTTTAAGAAGTTAGTTAACGCTTTTAAGAAGTTAGTTAATAGGGATAGTGATCTGGGGCGGCGTTAACTAACTTCTTAAAAGCTTTTTATTTTAGAAAGTAGAAAACCTGGATGCTTCATACTTTGTTTATAGATGCGGTATGTTACGAAGTTTCCGTCTGTCACATGTCCATTGTCCTTGACCTCATTTTCATGGTTCAGTGACTACTTGAAAAAAAAGTTAAGATTTTTTGTAATGTTAATTTCTCTCTTATTATGAGTAATAGGATAACTATATTTGGTTTGTGCGTACCTTGCAAGGTCCTCATGCTGGTTTTCACTTGACCTTGACCTCATTTCATGGATCAGTGAACAAGGTTAAGTTTTGGTGGTCAAGTCCATATCTCAGATACTATAAGCAATAGGTCTTGTATATTTGGTGTATGGAAGGATTGTAAGGTGTACATGTCCAACTGGCAGGTGTCATCTGACCTTGACCTCATTTTCATGGTTCAGTGGTTATAGTTAAGTTTTTGTGTTTTGGTCTGTTTTTCTTATACTGTATGCAATAGGTCTACTATATTTGGTATATGGAATGATTGTAAGGTGTACATGTCCAACTGGCAGGTGTCATCTGACCTTGACCTCATTTTCATGGTTCAGTGGTCAGAGTTAAGTTTTTGAGTTTTGGTCTTTTTTCTAATGCTATATGCGATAGGTCAACTATATTTGGTGTATGGAAATATTTTATGATGTACATGTCAGTCTTACAGGTTTTATTTGATCTTGACCTCATTTTCACAGTTCATTGCTCAGTGTTAAGTTTTTTGTGTTTTGGTCTGTTTTTCTTAAACTATAAGCAATAGGTCAACTATATTTGTTGTATGGAAGGATTGTAAGCTGTACTTGTCTGCCTGGCATGGTTCATCTGACCTTGACTTCATTTTCATGGTTCATTGGTCAATGTTTAGTTTTCTTGGTTAAGTCTGTTTCTTAGAAACTATAAGCAATAGGTCAACTATATTTAGTGTATTGAATGATTGTAAGGTGTACATGTATGACTAGTTTGGTTTATATGACCTTGACCTCATTTTCCTAGATCAAGTTAAGTTTATGTGATAGTTGTAGTAAAGCTTTATATTTAGGACTATCAACATAATATCAATGGTTAGTAAAGAAGGCGAGACATTTCAGCGTGTGCACTCTTGTTAATACTGATGGTTACCCTATATTTTAACCGAAAAGGTCTTTGTCAAGGGACTTTCAATACAAATTAAAAAGACATGAGCACAGAGAAGCAATTTGATCTATCAAATTTAAGTTCCTGAAATGCCATCAGACAAAAAGAAACACTAAATCTTGATTGTCATTAGATGTGAATGATGAAGTGGCCAAGTTGTTAATATTGCGAAAAGGGGATGCCTATAAAATAAGGAGATGTGGTATGATTGCCAATAAGACCACTATCCAACTAAGTCAAAATGTAATGGATTTAAGCAACTATAGATCATTTCAACAGTGAGCAAAACCTACACCTTATAGTCCTCTTAAAAGGCATTAGAAAATGTGAAACAATTCAAACAAACAAAGAATTTATGAAGAACCAAATATGACAGACAGCAACCAAAGACAACCACTGAATTACAGGTTCCTGACTTGGGACAGGTTAAACATGTTTTTGAGTCCTAACCTGGAACAGTGAGTGTAACAATACAAAATAAGAACAGTAAGAATCAGTTGGCCTTGAAATGGCTTGATGTCTTTATCACTCTAAAATAGTTGCTATGTTGTACTTATAAAATGGAATTATACAAGTGAAGAAATCGCACCAGATCATGATGTAAATAGTATCCAAAGATGAGGGAAAACCTCATTAGCCTACATAATAAACAGTAACAGTTTCTGATGCTCTTTAATTTTTGGTGGAAGAAGACTTTCAAGTCTTCTGAAATCCATTACTGCTGGCTGTTCAAGTATAAACATAGAACGTTTCCAGGAGTATTTACCTATCACTATCTGTGCTTTACAATTTTATAACTTCCATGCCTCATCTCGACACCAATTTGTACAAATGATGGGTTGCAAGTTTGCATCCTTTTATGAAACGAAGACAGAGAAACAATGTACAGATAGGTTTAAAAAAACAATTGCTAATGTTAGTTTTCTATATTCTCATGTTTTAAAATATCTCCCCTTTATTTGTGTTAATTTTTATATTCTATCTTTCTTATCTTCAATTCGAAATTTTTTATTTACTGTAACTGGATGTTTGAAGTAGATTTGGTAGAACGCATGCATTAATTAAATTTTGAAGGTCTCACTAATTAGCAACAAGAAGAATAATTTAGCGACAAGACAAGGCTTTTTATAGCTGACTGTGGTATGGGTTTTACTCATTGTTGAAGGCCGTACTGTGACCTATAGTTGTTAATTTCTGTATCATTTGGTCTCTTGTGGAGAGTTGTCTCATTGGCAATTATACCACATCTTCTTATTTTAATAATTTAGCAACAAGAAAACTTAATATTGATTATTTCAAATAAATCAATATATAAACATGCTTTACAGTTATTTTCCGGGGATCTGCAGGATTTCTCTCATTCAAACAAATCTGACCAGTTTCATCATTTTTTATAAACCACACTTTGATTGAACTTTTCTCCTGTAATTTTTCACCCCACCCTTTTTAACTTTGAATTTTCCATTAAACCATTAGAGAAACAAATTCTACCACTCTATCCTGTTGAAAACAATATTTATCAATATTAGCTTAAATTTAGAATGATCGCCAAACCTTAAAGTTTAAAATACAATTATCTTGAGTGCATAAATATTGCAATCATAAAGACGGTGTGGTAGAATTGATTTACACAAGACATTTACTAAGATTATAATTTTAGGTCATATATAATGACTTCATGATCTGGGAAAATATAGAATTATTCGAATTCAAATACCACCAAATTTAAAACAATTGAAACACAAAAATACAAAACAAAGCTAAATTGCATCCTTAAATTGAATGCGAAATAAAATATCAAGATTGCAGGAAGACAGAACAACAACTGGCTAAAAAGTGTACATCTCTCATTCATTATTTAATTTTTAAACCCCTGTAGAAGACGGGAGGTATTATGGTATACCAATGTCTGTCGATTCCTCCATCCATCCATTGGTCAACACTTTGTATGGTAACTCAAATTTGATTTTAGCACTCCTGCTTCTTCCATTAATAAAAACTTACAGCCATGTTATACCACAATAGTGCTGAAAGTGGCATTATATACCAATCAATCAATCAATTAAATTGGATTTAAACCAATTCTCATGCCATTTTAACACAACCTTAAGATTGAGGGAACAAAGTTCACTTTTAATTTTGAAAATTTTGGTTTGTCATTATAGAGTAACATGACCTTAACCATTTTGATAAAGACAATTTTTTCACATATGATTTATGCCCCTTGGAGATATTAAGTATATGGAAATTGCATTGTTAGCGCTCTCACATGTACATTTTTTGCCAGATTGTTATAAAATTTATATCAGCAATGTCTTGGACAATTTTGAACAAAAATGCTGATCCACTATTTCTAAAAGATATGCCCCTTGGAAATAATTTTTATATTGGAGATTGCATTGCATTTGCTTTCAAGCCTTCATTTCTCTAAGATATTTATGAAAAGTTTAAAACAACAAAAAAAAAGTTTTTTTTAGTTATTGCCCTTGAACAGATAAAATATATGCAATGCTGGGGACATTGGAACTCTGTTCTTTTATAATTATCAAATTTAAGTAAATTTTTCATATATTGTAACAACCCGAACCACTTCGATGGTCTCATGGTAGCATGTTTGCCCTGAGTGGGGGAGGTAGTTGATTTAAACCAAAGACTTTAAAATTGGTATTTGCTGTTTCTCCTCCAAGCACGTTTTTGCTTGTTGTTAAAAGGCTAATTTTAATATTATTTGTGTAATAGACATT